AAGCTTCAGAGAGGTGAAATCACTTGCCCAAAGTGCTTAGCAAGAATGTGGTGGAATCAGACACTAGTTCTTTCTTTGGGATCACAGAGCCGTTTTTAACTCATTTGATCTTCATTGAAAGCCATCTGCAGCCTCCAACCCTAGTGATCCCCATGGAAATAGAAGATGACACCTATGTGCCTGCCCTTCTCCAGGCTGGAGAAGGAAGCAAGAAGACCTGCATGTGTCACCTAGATACTGTGCCTTAGGATCTACCCCCTGCCCTCATCAATCTAGTCTAGTATTCACAGCAAGGAAGGAAGGAATGGCTGGAAAGATTCAAAGTCAGATGGTCCACACTCTTGATCACTAGACATACAACCTCTCTAGCATACCCCTCTGCATGGCAAAGTCCGCTCCATCACGACAGGATGAGGGCCAGGGTGACTTCTTCGGTCATGCCGTTAGCAACTATACTTTGCAAATATTTGGGGGAAGTGCTTGGCTAATTAAATAAGCGTTCTTGCTTCAGAACTTATCAGAGCCTTTAATATGCCAGCGTGCCTTGAGCAAAAGATGTGTGGCATTCCCCAAACTCACTGGACCACAGAGCACTTCATCTCCTCAGGCATCTGCCAGGACTAGTGACCCACGAAACACGCTCTGGGCTTTGGCAACGTTGACTCCTACACCCCGTGCCTCTAGAGGTCTGGCTGCACTTGCCTTCATGAGATAAACCAGATTCTTTCCAAAGAATTTTCTTCCTTGCTAAAGTTAAGTCAGGTCAGTTTCCATTACTTCCAACAATAGACCTGGACTGAGACGTGCCCTCACTTGCCCTCAGAAAGGCCAAACCTCTGGAGCCTGCTGGGATTTACACGCCAGGGTAGAACACAAGAGATGGATTTGGGGAGACCAGAACAGTCAGATGTGGTCAGGCAGGCTTGACAGAGACCTACCACGGAGGTCTCATCCTCAAAAATTCATGCTAAAGTGCTCCTCGCTCTTTTTTGTTTTCAATTTCCTTCCTGATGAGAAAATTTGCCATTTTTAGATAAAGAGAATGGCAACTTCTGTTTCTGAATCCCTGTGGGCAAGCTCATGGCCTTCTGACCTTTCTGTCACACTTCTGGCTGTCACAAAGACGGGCCCTTTCCTCCAGAACGTTGAGGCAGCGAGTCGCACATCCCTCTCCCCTCCACTCGCCCCAGCTCTGGCACATACACACACGAGCACCCTATTTCTGCTTGCTTCCCCCCAAGTTTACCGTCTAGGCTGGTGGGGGGTTTGGGCACAGGAATACCTCCCCTCTTGGGCTGGTGGATGCTCCAGACAGGCTGCAGGAGGCCTGGCCTCCAGAGTATGGCCCTCCTCCTCACCATTCCCCACTCCCAGGTGAACCAAAGTCCTGTTCTCTTAGCCAACGCCGCCTGCTAGACCATGACTTCAGGTGGCTTGCTTGCACCAGAATGACCGCTCAGAAGCTCACCACGGAGGGCGGCAAACCTAGAATCAATCATTCTAGATCTCTCCAACCCGCCTACTGCAGTCTGTCCTCACTACCTGAGCCAAGCTGCACAGCCACACCAGCACCAAAGGAGGTGCCTCGAGGACAGAGCCAGACCTGGTCCCCCACCCGGGGGGGGACACTGCTCCCAGAGCCCTGGCCAGGGAAGATGGCAATCCCACCCCCACACACACGCCACAAGCTGGGATCGGGGTCCTTTCTCTCACTCCACATCACCACTCACCCCATATGAGGTTTGTGCCACCTAGCTCCAAGACCACCCCTTCAACCCTCTCTGAGCCCCCCGCCAGTCTTCCAGCCCTGGCCCAGGATCATCAAAGACGTTGGCAGTGGGGTCACAGCCCTCCTCTCCACCCAGACCTCACCCTGGGGACTTGAGTGTCCGCACGGATATCCCACCCAACACAACGGATGCTCAGTTCCTTAACCTCACCCCGCAGCAACCTTCTCCTCCTCCTCTCCATGCCAGCCACCCACATCTCCAGCCAGCCTACTTCTGCTACCCGGAAATCCTAACTGCAGACTAGCCCCTTCTTTCCAGTTTGCGATTTTTTTTTTTTTACTGTGGTAAAATACCCATAGCATAAAATCAACCATCTTAAACATTTTTAAGTGTACAGTTTAGTGGCATTAAATCCACTCACATTGTTGTGCAACCATCCATCTCCAGAACTCTTTTCATCTTGCAAAACTGACATTCTGTTCCCAATAAATACTAACTCCCTGTTCCCCGCCCCCCCCCCCCCGGCCCTCTACCCTCGGCAACACCAGTGACGGTCTCTGTGACTTTGACGACTCTAAATGCTTCAGACTTAATAAGTGGAATCATCCAGTGTTTGTCATTCTGTTATTTGCTTATTGCACCGAACATAATGTCCCCAACATCCATCCATGTTGCAAGATATGTCGGAATTTCCTACCTTTTTAAGGCTGAATTACTAATTCCGGTGTGTGTTTCTATGTTATATTTCGCTCATCCATTCATCATCAATAGGCCCCTGGGTTGCTTCCACCTTTGGGCTCTTGTGATCCATGCTGCTATGAACATGGGTGTGCTCAGAGCTCTCTGAGGTCCCGCTTTCAGTTCTTCAGGGTATATGGCCAGAAGTGGCATTGTTGAACCATACAGTAATTCTACTTGTAATTATTTGAGGAAACATACTGTTTCCCCAGTGGCTGCATATTCCACATTCCCACCAACAGGTCACAAGGGTTCCAATGTCTCCGCAACCTCCTAATACCAGGTGTTTTCTGTTGAATACATCAGCCAAGCATCTCCAAGTCTTTACCTAAACCCTTAATGTCTTTGAGGCATTTCACACCACAAGCCACTGCATCTTTCTCAAAATGTTCTCCTTACCTGGCTCCTCCAGGCTGCCCTCACCTGGCTTCCTCTCTAGCATCAGACGGCTTATTCTTAGTCTCCATCATCGCCACCATATCTTCTGTCCACACTCTTTGTTATTTTTTGCAGGAGCGGATGGAAGTAATATGTTTTTGACTTTCAAAAGCTGTAAAAGTGTGTACAGTGAAGAATTTCCTTTCTCACTCCTGCCTCTTAACCACAAGACTCCCATCCCCAGAGGCAACCAATATTACCAGTTTCTCATATATTATTACGCATAAACATTCAGACAACTACAAATTCTCCCCCACACAAACACACACCATACTTTTTCACCACAAGAACGGCAGCATTCTACATGCATCAAAACTTCCCTTGTTTTCTTCACGACCGTATATCTCGAAGGTCTTTCATATCAGCACATCACAAACTTCTTTGTCCTCTCTTCCACCTCTAGCACACTTCTGCATGCACGTGCCCGGTTAATTTTATCATCTCCCTTCGGATGCCTTTTGGGGTTGCTTTCCAACTTTTGCTATTGCAAACCATGTCGCATGGAGCTCGCTGTGATGATGCAATGTTGTAATCATCTTACGTGCATCGCTGTCCACCTGTGGGGATCTTTCCACACAAATCCTCAGAAGTGGTGAGGCCAAAAGCAGGTGTCAGGGTCAGAAGATCTTGCCCTGATCCCCCGCACTGAGCCTCACCGTCTCCACTCACATCAGCAGTGATGATGTGGATGGAGGGTCTGATTCTGCAGACAGCATGCTATCAAATGTTTTGATTTTAGCCAAACTGAGAGATGAAACAATGTCTTAGCGAAGCTTTAATTATATTTCTGCTATTAGGAATAATGGGGCATCATCTTTTTTTTTTTTTTTTTTAGGTTTCAGTAAGTCTTTGCATCTTGTCCGTCTTTCATGTTGTTGATCTGTTTCATACTGATTCGTGGACATTCTTTATAAAAGAGGGAGATAAGCTCTTGTCGCTGGAGTCACAAATACTTTCCAAGTGTGTCTTTTGACTTGGCCCGGGTTGGCCTTTGCCGCACAGAAGTATTGTTCTCACAGTTAAAATAATCAGTCTTTTCTTTCACGGCATCGTGCTTAGGAACTTTTAAAATTCTCTCATGCTTCTGGTACTTTCAAGGCTTCATTTTGTTACATTTACATCGTTGTTTCATATGGAATTTATTCTACTATAAAATATGGGGTATGGATCCAATTTTTTTTTCCCAGATGTTTCTCCAGTTGTCCCAACCCCATCTGTTCAATAATGTATTTTCCCACTCAGTGCAAAATACCCTATTTACCTCAGACCAAATTCTCATGTATTGTTTTTGGGATTATATTTTGTTTCACTGAGTTTTCCAGTACCATACTGTTTTATATAATAGAGCCTCACAGTACAGTTTAATTTCTGATACAGCTGGTTCTCTCTCTTTACTACCTTTTTTATAGGCAGGAGAGGGGCAGGTGGGGGGAGAGAATCTTAAGCAGGCTCCATGCCCAGCACGGAGCCTGACACAGGGCTCCATCCCAGGACGCTGAGATCATAACCTGAGCTGAAATCAAGAGTCGGATGCTTCACCAACTGAGCCACCCAGGTGCCCCTTTACTATTCTTCCTCAAAAATGTTAAGGCTATTAATGCTGTCAAGGACTATAAAGAGTCTGAGTGAGTTTTTAGTCTTCTTGCAAGCCAAGAAGTTAACCTGCCTCGTTTCCTGGATGCTGGCAAAAGATCTGAGGCTTTAAGGTCAGGGACAAAGGACTCTGTTACTCTTGACAACAGCAACAGCCAGAGTATCAGCATTTGTGACAGTTCTACGAGCCCCAGTTCCCACAGGGTGACACGAAAAAATCCAGGGGATACCCTCACGTGGGCGAGCTGGGTCACAACCTTCTTGAGTCTGGGGAGCCCGAACCTTTTACAAGGAGCCTAAGCCCGCCTGGGCTTTGCCCCAGAGGGAGACAGTATCATTATTACACCAGACAGGAAACAAACCTGTGCTTTTCTCCAGAGGGAAACACTGTCTCTACTTACCAAGCGTGTTCACTATGCAAACAGCCCGGAGGAGACAGTCTGGAACAAAGGTGGTCACTGCTTCTGCTCATCCAGAAACATCTACAGAGAAGTGGTGCTCAACACTTGCTGATTTTCCCACAGGAACTCGAGAATCAGTTAGTCTAAATAACAACAAAGTCTTCACTTTTATGGAGAAGCTTATTAAATTCTAAATTATCCGAGATAGGACAGGCAATTTTATGATGTTAGTCTTCCTATCCAAAAACATTATTCAAATGCTTTTTTGTCCCTTGGAAGCATTTTAATGCTTTTTCCACTTAGATTTTGCACATCTCTTGTTACGTTTATTCTTATGGTTTTTTTTTAATCTTTTTTGTTGCTATTATAAATGTTTTCTATTCCCATTTTGATCTCTAACAGGTTGTCATTAATTCTTGCTCTTTAAATGAATAGTTTTCCTCCAGGGTCCCTCCTCTGCCTTCCTCTCTCCTAACTGTAGGATTTCCCGGAATGAGCTCATTCTCTCCCAAAACTTCAATGAGCATCTGTCAGCCGATACCTCCTGTACTGTCATTTTCAGCCCTGGTCTCTCTCAGGAGCTCCTGACACAGATGCCACGGACACCCCATGGGCACTTCACACCCAGGCAGCATTGAAATTAAACTCCTCATCTTCTCCCTACACTAGCTCCTCCCTCATACTCCAGCCTCTGCCAACAGCATGACCATTCCCCCCCAGGCTCCCTCCATCTCACTCCCGCAGAAGAGAGAGGCTTTCCCTCACCCTCTTTTCCAATCAGCCACCAGGTCCTATCCATTCTTCCTCCTCAGTTCCTCTTTACTCCATGCCCTTAACCCCATCTTCACTGCCAGGGCCTGAGTCCCACACAAATGCCTAGGGAGCCCCCTGAGTGACTGCTTGCTCTTGCATCTCCTCTCTGTTACCTAATCCTATCCTCCTGCAGGAGCAGCCCACAGATTAGATCATGCCAATCCCCAGAAGCTCCAGAATAAAACAGAGGCCACCATACCCCCAACATAGCACCCCTGGCCATTAGTGACCCGGCCTCTCCCACCTTCCTGGGCTTCAAGCCTTCCCCAGCCATCCCACACCCACATTTTTGCACATCTCTGTGCCTAAGCCCTGGCTTCACCTGAAATATCTCAATCCACCAGGGCCCTCTTTCCCCAGCTACCTCCTACCCCTCCCTGAGAGTTCAACTCAGACACTAACTCCTCCAGACTTCCCAACACCCTCTCATCTGCATGAGACGCATTCACTCTTTCATTCATTTCTCCACTTCAGCAAGCATTTATTTGGTTCTCCACTTGCCAAGCTCTCTGCTAAGTACCAAGGACACCAGGATGAATTGTGTACAAGCCACTGCCCTCTAGGGATTCACTAAGTTCTTGTTATTCAAAATGTGGCCTGGGACCAGCAGCATCAGCATGTATCAGGGAACTGGCCAGAAATGCAGACATTCAGGCCTCATCCCACACCTGCTGAATCAAATCTGCACTTGGACGAGATCTCTGAGAGGTTCGTGTGCACAGTAACATTTGAGAAGCACTGATCCAGGTGACATGTAAACAGAAATAAAACAAACCGAGTAAGAGGAACCTCAGAGCCACACAAGGAGGACAGGTGAGAGCTAACTAAGGGAACAGGAAGGGAGGAAGGGAGGGAGGGGCAGGACAGGTAAGCTCAGGACAGAAAAGTGGAGCTGGAGCTGGGAGGAAGGGGCTTCCAGGCGGAGGACACAGTTGGAGCAAAGGCATGGAGGAGAGAAAGCGCATGCGCTGGACTGGGGCTGCAGGAACCGCCGCTGCTCAGCATCATGAGAGAGCGCACTCCAGCTTCACTTCCTAACCCTCCACTCTAGACCCACCCATAGCCTGTCTGTCTCTTCAACCACGCATGGTCAGGGGTAGGGGCCAGGGAGCACAATCCCGCAGGCCAGGGGTGACACCAGACCAAAGCAGAGCAGAGGCAGCCCAGGTGGAGGAGAGAACACACATTCCAGAAAGATTTGGGAGGTCAGATTGGTGGTGGGGAGTGTGGGGAAGATGCAAGAGAAGAGCGGATGTGAGTCTCAGGACCCAGGCTTGTGCGGGTGAAAGTAGAAACCAACAAGGCCGGGAGAACAGCAGGAAGAACAGGCGTGGGAGCCAAGTTGGTAAGTGCCCGTGTTTATGCAGCACTTGTTCTGTGACGGGCACCAAAATCAGCACTCCGCATGGGTTTCCTCAATGAGTCCTCATCCAGCAATCCTCGAGGCGGGTATTGTTACTGTCCCCGGGTTACAGAGGAGGAAAGAGGCACAGAGAGGTTAGACTCCTTGCCCAGAGTCACACAGCAAGAAGTAGGAGAGCTGGGAGCTGAGCTCAGGCCACAGCCAGTTTGTCATCCCACTTGATGGGTTGGCTTCAGACACGGTGGGAGTTAAGAGCCTGCAGACTCCAGATGGAGAAGAGTGAGTGGACCGGAGGCTCAGGTGAGCCACGAGAAGAGGTGCGGGCTCACAGAGGTTGCCAGAGCCCCTGGGTGGATGAGGCGATGCTGGGGGCAGGGCTGGCAGGCAGTCATCTGGGCTGACCAGTGCCCCCTGTGGGCTGCCATTTGCTGGTTTAGCCAGAACCCGGCACTAGACAGATACCTCCGGAACCTTCAGAAACCGACCTCTTTCTCTGGAACCCAGGCTTCCATGGGGGGGGGGGGGCAGGGCTGCGGGGAGCCAGAGAGCCTGATCACGGCCTCAGAGAGAGAGATGTCCCAGAGGCAGGCAGAGGACAGCTTCAGGAGGCACAAGGGAGAGACCACTACCTCCCAGTACCTTCTCTACCTCCTCATCCAAGGAGGGAGAGCGGCAGAGGGACTCTGCTCCCACCCACCCCAGCAGGGGATGGAGCACCCTTTCTGCACTTTCTGACTACACAGCACTCCCAGCCTACCATCTTCTCAAGCGTAAGGGGGTGGCATCCCACTCCCAGAGCTCCCAGTACGATGAATGGTCCTTATGGCCAGAAGGTACCATGCAGATCGCAGAGAGTCTCCCCATGGCCGCAGCACATGCCAACACCCTAAGGAGGGGAGAGTCTCCTCACTATGGGTATCAGGCTAGATGGAACCAAGAGCTCCCCACTCCCTGCTCAGGCCCCAGAGGCAGGGCTGGGGGTCCAGGCTGGAACTCCTGGCTAGCTGACAAAGGCTCCAGGGAGCCGGGGCCTGCCATCTGGGGGGACAGGCTGAGGTCCCTGAGAGGGTGGGGGGCGAGCCTCAAGCATGGGCGGGAGGGGCTGCTGCTGCGCAGGCCCCACCCCCGCCCAGTTTGGCCAGCCGGAAACAGGCCTCCACTGGCCTGCTTCCAATTTTGCAAGAGAAGGTAGAGATGCAGATTTCCATGTGAAATCTCCAGGTTCTCAAATGTAGATAACAAACTGGCAGTGTAAATGTGAGGTGGCTTGGATCAGGATCCAGGGATCACCCTGCGCGCCCTGGATCAGGTCTAGGATTTGGATGAGGCCAAGGACCCAAGGACGGGACCTGGCTGTGCCCGAGTCCGCATGGGCATGGCCCCGCGTGTTCCCACAGACGAGCGTGTAAGCAGGGCACGGCTGCAGCACCAAACAGGCCATGGTGCGTGAGCACGTGTGCGTGGTCCTCGCCCGGGCCTTTGCGAACGCGCGGCAGCAAGCACAGGCACAGCATGTGCGCTCACACAGTGCGCGGGGGTTGGCGTGAGCCCGCACTTAGGTGTCCGCACACATGCCCGTGGGCTCCAGTCGGGCCGTGTTCGCGGGCACCGAGCTCCCAGCTCCAGCGGCAGGTTCCGGGGCGGGGGTGGGGGGCCGGCGGGGGTCAAGCCCACACCCGCGGCAGCAGGGGTGCGCGCACACACATGCACGCTCATGCACGTGCACAGGGTGGGGGCGGTAGAGGGGAGGTGGCGGCGGCCAGGGCCTGGCAGAGGGCAGCGGAGGGGAGGGGGGGGAGGTCGGCAGGGGGGAGGCCGGCGGAAGGGAGGCCCAGGGAGGGGAGGCCGGCAGAGGGGAGGCCTGGGGAGGGGGAGTCCAGCGGAGGGGAGGCCCGGGGAGGGGGAGGCCAGTGGAGGGGAGGCCCAGGGAGGGGAGGCCCGGGGAGGGGAGGCCCGGGGAGGAGAGGCCGGCAGAAGGGAGGTCTGGGGAGGGGAGGCCAGCAGAGGGGAGGCCCGGGGAGGGGAGGCCGGTGGAGGGGAGGCTCAGGGAGAGGAGGCTGGCAGAGGGGAGGCCCGTGGAGGGGAGGCTGGCGGAGGGGAGGCCGGCAGAGGGGAGGCCACCAGAGGGGAGGCCACCAGAGGGGAGGCCGGCAGAGGGGAGGCCGGGAGGGAAGGACCGTGGAGAGGAGGCTGGCAGAGGGGAGGCCGGCGGAGGGGAGGCTCAGGGAGGGGAGGCCCGGGGAGGGGAGGTCGGTGGAGGAGAGGCCCGGGGAGGGGAGGCCCACAGGGGGGTGAGGCCCACACGGCAGCAGCCCCCGGGCGCCGCGGGAGGAAGGAGCTCGCACGCAGCCTTGGCCATCAGTCACCAGATGTCACCTTCTGCTGCCGATGCAGCGCGGGGTGCAGACAATGGCTGCGTGGGCCACCCCCCCACCCGCGACCCCACTGCCCTCGTCCGCGCTCGGCCTCCCCAGCTCTGGGCGCCCCACCTGGCGGCCACCCCCTCCTCCACATCCCCTCCCCTTATCTGCTTTCAGGACAGGGCTGTCTCCCCCAGGGAGCATTTCTGGGCCTCCTTTCTCTGGTCCACCCCGTCCCCGAGCCCCCAAACTCGGGTGTTTGTGCTGGGGCCACCTCCCGGGGCGGCACTGGCCTCCCAGACTGCTGCTGATAGGAGACCTTCTGCCAACTAGTATCTGCGGGGAAGAGGGGGGATGAATGAATTAGGAGAGTCACCATTTTGCAAGGCGCATTAATGGAAGCACCTAGGACACGGTCACAGTTCTGTGACGGTTGCACAGGAGTAGACCTTACACAGAGGCAGCAGCCTGGCACCGTCTTGGCACCACTAAGAACAGGGCCAGAGTAGGCTGCATGACCAGGTATAAGAAGTCCACGCACCACCTATGCTGTCCTCTTGCCGAAATAATTAGCCTGGGATATAATCACGTGTCTGGAACGAACCACCCAGTATGGGTAGTATCATTTGGATCCTGACTCAAAGCAAAGGTAAAAAGACTTTTTCAAGATGATCAAGGCACACTGACAAGAAATAGGTATTCACGATCTTGTTAAATGGTAATGTATTAAATCCCTCTGTGGACGTCTAACTCTGGGAAAGGAACAAGGGGTAGTGGAAAGGGAGGTGGGCAGAGGGATGGGGTGACTGGGTGACAGGCACTGAGGGGGGCACTTGACAGGATGAGCACTGTGTGTTATACTATATGTTGGCAAATCGAATCCAATAAAAAATATTTTAAAAAATAAAAATAACTGAATCCCTCTGTGTTAGAGATATGAGGAATTGTATTTAAGTGAAATGTGTTGTCTGTTGTAAACAACTCAAGGGGAAAAAGTGGGTGAGGGAAGAGCTAAAACAAAATTTAGCAAAATGTTGACAGTTGGTGGATGGCGGTGATGGGTACATGGGACTTCCTTATACTGTTGTGTCTGCTTTTGTAAATGTTTTAAGATTTCCAAAGTGAAAAAAAAAACACAACTGTACTAAATGTCTGCAAACTTACTTGAAAATACCTATGAGTAAGAGATTGAGATTGGTGGATGGATGGAGGTATGGGCAAGATGGACAGATTCAGGAATGATGTAAAATGACAACGGCAGATCTGGGTGGTGGTATATGGATGCTCACTATATATTGCCTTTTATTTTTCTGTCTGTTTGGAATTTTCCAAATACAGTATTTGGGGAAGATTTTCTTTTTTTTTTTCAATATTTATTTGAGTTAGAAAGGGAGAGTGAGAGGGGGGAGAGCAAGTCTTAAGGAGACTCCACCCTCAGGGTAGAGCCCATTTGGGGCTCAGTCTCACCACCCTGAGATCATGACCTGAGCTGAAACCAAGAGTTGAACATTTAACCAGATGAGCTACCCAGATGTCCCAGGTATTATTATTATTATTAAAAAACAAAAATAAAATGCTTACCTGTACCACAGCCAGTGCTTTTGGTACACAGCCCCTGCTCAGGTATGACACTGAGACTGCCAAGGGTGGACAATGAGGACGCAGGCCCAAAGAATTCTCCGTGAATCTCAGGATCCTAGGCCAGACATACACAAACGTTCTGTAAAGGGCCAAGAGGTAAATATGTGAGGCTTTGTCAGCCACGTATTTCTCTGTCACATATTTTTCTTTGATTTTTTTTTTTTTTTTTACAATCCATCAGAAATGTAAGGACAATTCTTAGCTCAGAAGCCTACCCAAGGGATCCCTGGGTGGCGCAGTGGTTTAGTGTCTGCCTTTGGCCCAGGGCGCGATCCTGGAGACCCGGGATCGAGTCCCACGTCGGGCTCCCGGTGCATGGAGCCTGCTTCTCCCTCTGCCTGTGTCTCTGCCTCTCTCTCTCTCTCTCTCTCTGTGTGACTATCATAAATAAATAAAAATTACAAAAAAAAAAAAAAAAGAAGCCTACCCAAAACGGGCAGCAGGCTGCATTTGGCCCTTGTTTGCATCAGTTTGCCACACCTGCCCCAGCCCTACAAAACGTCCGTAGCCAGGGAAGATCAGAAGTGTGGCAGGACACTGGGGTGAGGAGCAGGTCAGACCATCCCAGACTGGAATCCCAGTTCACGCTTCGGAGAATCACTTCGCTGGCCAGGCCTCTGAGGTAAATGGGAATGTCATTACGATAAACCACTTGGGCTTGCCAAAAGAGAGCACGAGTTCTGACACAGGGTCTGGCACACGGACATCCAGTAACCACCCTCCTCCCCCTCCTCACCTAGTACATGTGTTTATGCACATGCACACACACACACACAGCCCTCCAGGAAGAAAAAACTCACCTGTGATCTTTAGAGACCCTGCCACAAAGTCAGAAAGGCACTCAAACCAGAGACTATGGTTGGAATTCTGGCTTTGAGCTCAATTGGCTCTGTGACCTCCAGTAAATGTTGAGCCTTTCTGAGCCTCAGTTTCCCTCATTTAAAACCAATATAATATCACTACCAACTTCCTCCTGATATTGTCAGGGTGACTCGCTGAAGTTACTGATAAGGGCAGTTAACATAATGCCTGATACGGGATAAGCTGGACAAGTGGGGGCAATGTCCTTTTGGCTACTATGTTGTTCCAAAATGAGAAAGCAGCTTCCCTGAGAAGAGGTGCAGGATGCTTGGCCCAGTAGATCACAGCAGGCAAGGGGCAATGACAGACCATTCAGGGAGGGCTGCCTGGAGGAAATGCCAACATGACCTCAGCCATGGTCATGCTTGGAATCCCCTGTCTCTTTCAGTGGAGAGAGCAGTGGGAATGGGGAGGATATGGAGCCATATCTTTCCCTTGGGAATAAGAAACCCCTTCTTCATGCTGATGGCCTGCTGGAGCTCCTTCTGCCCCCTAGCCTCTCCAGAGAGGACTACCCAGGCCCTGGAGATAGCAGGTCCTTCCCGAGTCCCGAAGAGACTTGGCCTTCGTGATATTTGGTTTTGTTTCCTTTTTAAAATAATGCCTATTTTAAAAAATTTTTATTACAAAAGTAATGTATACAGTTTGAAACAATTTGAAAAAGAATAAGAAATTTTTCCTAAATTACCCTTTATCCCATCATCATTGAGAACTGTTATCTTGTGTAAATTTTCCAGGCTTTTTCCTCTGTAGTATACATTTTTATGTAGATATGTATTTTTGCAAAAATAGAAACATATACTGTTTCTTTTTTGAAAGAAATCTTGTTTTCTTTTCACATAACACAGCTTGAACACCTCTTCATATCCTTAACTCTGCTACATCTTTGTGTTTGATGCCTATATAGTAGTCTACAGTGCAGATAAACTCCTAGTAAACCAATTGACTATCACTAAAAGAACACAGATATTTTATTTTAAAGATTTATTTATTATCTATTTATCTGACAGAGAGAGAGCACACACATGCGCATGAGCTGGGGGACGGGCAGAGGGAGAGGGAGAGAGAGAATCTCAAGCAGACTCCCTGCTGAGTGTGAAGCTGGACATGGGGCTGAGATCATGAGATCCACGACCCTGAGATCATGACCTAGGCCAAAACCAAGAATCAGATATTCAAGCAACTGGGCCACCCAGGTGCCCCAAGAACACAATTATTTTAAATGGCAATTAGTCAACAGCATTGCCAAGTCTCATGAGCACTTGCATCAAGGAAGATGTTCAACTCCGAGCTGAGTACTCAACCCAGAATGCAAAAGGGGCTTTGCATGGAGAGAGTGTTCATCACCTTCTCCCAAGGGTCTCGGGTTCCTCCCCACCAGAGTAGCGCGTGCTGGCCTGGATGTGCAGAGGGCCCCTGCAGCTCAGCTATTTTCTGGGAGAAACTTGTTGGCCATAAACAAGAAGTCATGGTGAAAGGAAGAAGAGAAACAAATCTCTCACCCCGGCCAGTCCTGTGCTGCCTCGGAGCCTCAGTGCTTTGCTTCCCTGACATATAAAACATATTGCTCACCTGAGCATTTTCCCTCTAACTCAGCGAGGGGAGCCCAGCTATGAACCCTGCGGGAAAACACTGAGAGAAGAGAGAACAACTCTGCAAGGCCTTCAACAACTCTTCAGCCAGCTCGTGTGGCAAATAGCAAGTGTGACGAGGATGCTGAGGTTGGATGCAGTCTGAGGTCTCTTGCTGCTCTGAGCTCACACCAGAAAATTCTCAGCCAGAATTTGACCTGTGATCTTGGGCAAGTCAGTTCCCCTCTCAGGGTCTCTAAGAGTGACACAGAGATGTAATACCTACACAAGGTCACCATGAGGATGTACAAACACAGGAGGGACTCTGAGATGTCCCCTCCCTACCAGACTCCAACCCCATCCTGGGTCTTGACAACCAGTTGCTAGGTATCTATTGAGGCCCTATTGTGGATGAGGTGCCTGGGAGGCAGGAATGAGCAAAACAGATGGAACACTTGCCCCCATAGCACTTAAGATTAGTGAGCAAACAACAAATAAATGATGACAGTGTGTAGTATGGTGAAGAAGCACAAAGTGTCCCTAGAGTTAAAAAACCTCTCACCTAGTTGGGGGTCCTCAGGAAGAGCTTCTAAGAAACAGTCATTTCGGGATCCCTGGGTGGCTCAGCGGTTTAGCGCCTGCCTTTGGCCCAGGGCGCGATCCTGGAGACCCGGGATCAAATCCCACATCGGGCTCCCGGTGCATGGAGCCTGCTTCTCCATCTGCCTATGTCTCTCTCTGTGACTCTCATAAATAAATAAAAATTTTAAAAAATTAAAAAAAAAAGAAACAGTCATTTCCATGAGAGGTAAGAGCTAGAAAGAATTATATAGAAGGAAAGTCCAGGAAAGGGTGCTAGGGGCAAAAGAAACAGCCTTGAGGGGGGAAAGGAACATGCTGTGACCCAGGACTGACCACAGGCCAGCAGGGCTGGAGTGTCAACAGTCAGGGAAATGGCTAAGGATGAGGCTTGAGGAGGTTGACCAGGGCCACCATGCAGGGTCTTGTAGGCCACAGAGATCTCTCACAGGAACGTGTGTGAAGTGGCCACATCTGAGGAACAACAGAGACCACCACTGGGACTGGAATGGAGGGAGTAAAGGTAGACACAGGTCAGACAAAGTCTGAGGCTAGATCTTCAAGGCCTTGAGGGTCTTGTGTGGATTTCAGCTTTTAAGTGAACTGGGAGCCACTGCTGGTGAGAGCAGTTGAGAAAAAGAGTGATATGGTCTGTGAAATTTTAAAAAAGAACACTCCAGGCGTTCCACTTTCAATACAGTAGTATAAGCTCTTAACAGACCCACCCTCCCTGTAACACCTATTCGCTCTGGATATAATACCAAAATAACCACTAGAAGGCTCTAGGAAATTCCCCGAAACAGGCAGACTTTGGAAGGGTGTCAAATCTTTCAAGAAGGGGCTGGCATGTGGTAGGTTTCCCATGTTTATGGCTTTTCCCAGAGGACAGGCTGCAAACACCTAAAAGTCCAATAGAAGACACTGTTTTTCAGGACACCTGAGTGGCTCAGTGGTTGAGCATCTGCCTTTGGCACAGGGCATGATCCTGGGGTCCTGGGATCGAGTCTTACATTGGTCTCCCAGCATGGAGCCTGCTTCTCTCTCTGCTTATGTCTCTGCCTCTGTGTGTCTTTCATGAAGAAGTAAATAAAATCTTTTTTTAAAAAAAGGAAAAGAAAACACTTTTTCTGGCCTTAAGAGTCAGAGGATGGAACCTCGGGCAACCAGAGCCACTGGAAGGTGAAGGGGAAATCCTGGAAAGGAAAGTACAAGGGAAGGCCCAAACTCAGTTAATACATTCTGACAAGTGTCCACTCAACTCCCAAAGCAACTCGCAGAGAAAAGACTCAAGACAGCCTACAACTAAGACTGAGAGAAACCGAGCTGTGATTTAAGATGCCGCCCACTGCAGGCAACACAGACTGTAGTCTGACTCTAATCAAGTGAACTGCCTAAGACAATGACATCAGTGCTCTTTGGAAGAATATAACAAATTCCAGAATCTCTACACCACATATTTTCAATTCCAGAATGTAATCCAAAATCACCCTATAAATAACGTGGAAAATATGATCCATCCTCAAGGAGAAAGATAACCCACAGAGTCCAGCCTGAGAGCATCGCGAAGTTAGAGTTATGAGGCAGAAGCTGTAAAGGAACTTCTGTAACTATGCTCTACCGGGCAACAGAAAGCACACACTTAATCAAGGAAGAGATAGTAAACTTATAAAGAGAAATAGAAAATATGAAAAGAATCAGAAATTCTAGAACCAAAAAATTCATTATCTGAAATGTTTTTAAAGTTTCACCCTGTATGGGCTTAAAACAGAATGCAGATGATAGTCAGTGAGCTTAAGTAGATTAAGCTAAAACCATGTCATCTAAAGAAGTCAAAGAGGGAGACAGGGCAATGGGGGGGAGAGAGAGAGAGAAAGAAGATTGAAAAAAATGAACAGTGTCAGGAATCTCTGGGGTAATAGCAAATGTCTAACATATTCGTAATTGGGAGTCCTAGACAGAAAAGAAGAATAGAGAAAAAATATTTTTTTTTGCTCAAAATAATCTTTTGAAGAAATAATGGCCAAAAAAACTCAAAACAGAAATAACAACAACAAAAAACACCTCATTT